ATCTTTTTTGGATCTAAATATCGTCCGGCGCAGTTGATGTATAACCTTTTTGAATCCCATAATTTTTTTTTCCTTACCTGTGATTTCTGGCGCAATTGACATAAACCGCCATATACATATACAAACCACCTACAATAGGACCAGCTGTGCATACTACTTGCGTCCCCCAAAAAGATAAATTGTACAGGTAGTACCTATATTCAATAGGCAACTTGCGTCCAGTTTTGGGGACGCAACTCAACCATATTATCAAGACTTACCTGGCATTTAAGTCGTGACGGAGTTGGGTCCATAAATATTATTAAGCATTACAAATTACAATATAATATTGTGCATATTATGAGGTATGTGTAAATTGACTATGTTATATCTGAGACGTACAATAAAATATTATCAGCATTTACAATCTTAATACAAAATGTTAATATTATTATAACGGGTTAGTGTAATAAAATTAATTACGCGCCTTGTCGCCATCACTTGATATCTCATTTAATAGGTATATCTTATAATATTATGATTGATCAAAGTAACACAAAGTATTTTGCACGGTGCTGTACATTTATCAGTACGAGTGCACTCGTTAAGTCGTCCCGTTACACAATGTTCGTGGTTAAAATACAACAAAATGTTTAGTTCCAAATTGTGAACGAAAAAAATAATTTTTTTTAAATTAATGTGATGATGTAATGTAATATAATTAAACCTAGTGGAATCATATACAATTAATCTACTCAGCTATTACTAATAGTGTGTAATAATTAATGTATGCACTATGCTTATGATTTATTTATGTTGGGACGCAACTAGGCTGCCTAAAATGGTAAACCGGGACGCAAATAGTCTGCAACCCTTTTTGAACCTTTTTTTTGCGGGACGCAATTTAACTACTGATAATATTGTTTCGGACGAAAGTAGTATGCACCGAGACCAGCAAAGTGCAGATCTGGGTAATACCAGCGGCCAGTAAGCTCATACAGGTGAGATATGCTTCGCCTGTCTAAACGAATAATCCTACTGTAAAATTTGAAAATTAATCTCATCCTTAGTCGTAGTACCTTCAATGGGAGGCCTCTACAGTCTGTCAAATCTGCATTTTATTTTTATTTTATTTTAGCTATTTTATACAATAAATAATTGTTTTAACTATTCTTTTTTTGTAACTGATTGAATAAAAACCTTATGAACCAAACAAAAACTCATTTTTCGGTTGTGTAAATATGTATGCCTCCTAATACACACGTGCCTAGTTATATGACGTATAACATGTTATTTTATTTTTTTAGAAGCTAATTACCTACACCTATATGTTTATTATAAACAAATATACACATAAGAACATATATGTAAGAATGGTATACTTACATGAATACAGCCCATTTTATATTTTAAATATTTATAAAATGTTTGCATCGCTCGGACTATTTTTTTAAATCATGCAGATCACCCGCAGTGACTCAAATAGGGGATCACCCAAGATCCACCTCACAATAAAAAAAAACCTAATGACCTCGATTGTGAAGTTTTTTCTAAAAAATAATACATTTTTTTAATAATGTGATTAGCTGGACGAAGGGGAAAAGTTAAAATGTTATCATCACTGAAAAATCGTTAAATCACACACGATGATAAATTAAATTCAGTTTTTCCAAATGTGAATGCACCATTTTCAAATTTGGATACAGTGAAGAACACATTAGGGTTCACCATGAAAAATACAATCCTGAACGATTTAGTATTAATGACCACAGAAAGGTCTAAAATAAATAATTACAGATGAAGTTAATGAATAGAGTTTAAAAAAACAAAATTAAATTACTATAATAAAGTAGGTAAAGAACTAGTTATATATACTATTGTATTTTTATTTTATACTATTACATTTCATTATTGAAATAGTATAACTGTGTGTAATGATAATAAATTCATAAATAACACCTTTTATTGCGTGTTTTTAAAAAGATTATTTTGCAAAATAATTCTTCTAATGAAGAACATTAATTGTGTTATTGGTGAGTAAAAAGTGTAAGGGCATTTGGATTATCGGGTTCCAGTCTCAGTAAACTAATTTACTCCGGTCCTATACAGTACTTTACATGATTGACATTATTAGAATATAATAAATTGTAATAGGTATATAAATATATTACTCATTAGACCAATGAAGAAAGCGACCATGCAATTGGTAGGATTTAAAATAAATAAAAAATAGTGAGGGAAGTCAATGATTAATTTATGGAAATTCTTTTGATTTCAAATTATTTCTCATTTTCTCGAGGTATTATAATAATAATTTATGAATATAGCTTGTGTCGCTGGTGAATGAGCTGTATAAAATTAATTAAAGCAACTCGGAATCACATTATACATAGGTATACCTATTATGTTTTGCAAAGTGTCTAATTGACTTAATTATTATTTTAATTCTTATAAATATTTCTAATTTCAAGTTAAACATACATAATAACTTGAGCAACCGATAAAAATCGGTTCAATGAAAGAAAAACGTTTGAACAGTACTTACCGGATACGGAAAATCATCCTCGTTATTTCACACCAGTTATTTATATTACTGTAACAGAGGTTATACTACTCGTCAAATGGAATGACTTAATAGGCGAAAAACGTAGGTAACACATACAAGCCAGAATTCACCAAATATTATTATATGCAACCTTTATTTCCAAGTATTTTGTTATTTGAAATGTAACATACTATTTATCAAAACCGTTGAGTTTTGTACAATATTATAATTATTACTATTGGGGCCGGGTGTGTGAGGCGTGGTGGTTGACCACTGTCACTACTGTGTGCTGCGGCCAAGCATCATCCAGCGTCGTTAGGTTCAGGATAGCCAGATGGGTGTCCACTCAGGTTTTCAGCGACAAATTCTCGGTCCCCATAAGCATTTGTTCCTCAACCAACCGAAACCATCCCTACACACCCAATAACCTGTGTTGCTGAAGGTCATTTAAAAAAAAATATTAGCTATTGAATATCACCCTCACCGAAATAATACAATATTGTAGTTTTAAGTTATATTGGCGTATACTTTGATTAAAATGATACTGAGTATTGTAACTTATTTGCGTGTAAAATAATTTAAAGTGACCTTTATATAAAAAAAAATTATACGACACAATCGTCAATCACATCGTTATCAAATATATACCGTGTTGAAAAATATAATATTACATTTCAATTATAGACAAACAGCGCTGTTTTTTAGAAGAAATAATTATAAATACAATTATAATTTCGTACTGCTTCAATGGAAATTGTTTCAATTATAAACATTTTTACTACCTTACAGGCCAGATATTATTATATACATACCTTAAGAACCGTCATCATAATATTATTACATTTTTAAAGTACCTACTTTGTTTCCACGCATTTTTTTTATTTGAAATTTAATTTATTTACGGTAAATTTGAAAACATTGTAAGACCACTGCATTTTGTTCAATACCTACCCACGGGTAGTTGTACTTTAGGTACAATAATCAATACCTGAGTAATCGTGTGTTTTAAACTTGTATGTGTTGGCTTATATTTGATTAAGCATACGACATAGGTACCTATAGTACTGTAACTTACAAATCTTATATTAAGTATAAAAATATATTTATTGAAAACAAAATACCTACCTATGTCGTAACACAATAACTTAGACAATATTTTACATTGTATAAGTATTAAAAAATGCTACAATTGCATTAACCATCAAAATCAAAGTAGAAATCTTGAATAGATGATATTATAATATGTATATTGTGTATTATATATATTATTTAGTTTAGATATTTATATGACAGTTAAGTATAATATAACAAATAGTGAAATTAATTTCTAAAAAAGCCTGTTAAAAATAATATAATATGATAGTATACAACAATATTTAGTGATAAAATAATATAACGGCAATTAATCATCTTTTCTTTTGTACATAATATACGTTATTGACGCCATTTGATTGTTTAAAGTCATTACTACGTGCCCACTAACATGGCCATATATACGTACTTAAGCTATAGCCACAGAAAAGTCGGATAAAGTTATTCTATTTAATTATAAACGGCTTCAAATAAATCTTTTTTTGTAACCACTGACAGACAAAATATTTGTCCTTAATACAAGTCTCGGTGCTGTACACAATAATATGCTATTATACTGTTACAATTATTATTTTAATGACGTTATTCGTTGTAAACAAAAGTATAATATATTATTAACATATTGCAAAATGCATGATGATGTACAACTTGTTTTTAAACACAAATCAGAAAAATGCATCACAAATAATGTTTCAATTAAGTTCACAAATACGTATTATAAAATATGCGTCGACCACTAAAAGCAATCGAAACAGTTTTGATTTCAGATTTAAGAGATATATTTACCTTATACCTTAACATTATTTTATACAGGTACTTACGTATTTCATTTCAAGTCGAACAGTTAACAGAATTCGAGTTTAGTTGGCAAAAACAATATTTAATATTATAGTATAATGCATAATATGGAAAACAATAATCGTACAAACGTGGTAACAGTTACAGTAACATAATATGTTTATTTCGTTTGTCTTTTACAAAATTCAATAATATAATAAGGGTTATAATAAATTAATCCAATAACTATATAATATGCAGCCTAAATCATATAATGAAACATTATGCAAAAACCATCCCAAATGTTTTGTGTTTTTAATTCCATAAAAAATAACCAAAGGTACATAATAATATAATCGATATTTTGTTTCGATACATATTCCGCGTAGTTTTAGTAGACAACATAATTTTTTTTCCTTAACTATGGCAGAGTCTTCTGAAATAACATAAAAATAAACGAGTCATTTTAACAAACAATAATAATATTCGAAATCGAATTATATAATAATAAAATAATATGTACCTATATCGCGGGGAGGAGGGATAAAATTAACATAAAAAACATAATAGTACAATATTAATAATAATGACAATGATAATAATAATAATAATAATAATAATAATAATAATAATAATAGTAATGTTAACAACACTTTTAATAATATAAAATAATAACGTAAAGGAGGACTGTATACACAACACTGCAAGAGAACCGAACCGCAATGTGTGCATAAAATAATAATAGTAATAATAAAAAAGTCTATATTATAATATAATATTATGGTTTAATGGTTTTTCGGACGACCGCGATTATCCGGCTATCAGCGTATGTGTATCCGGCTACAGTACATATACGGCGTGATATTATTATTATTAATAATCATAATATATTAAAATAATTAAATAATAATATTTGTATAGTTGGTTTGTATCGATCGTTTTCGCACGTCCATGACCCTGTATACTACGCACGCTCTGACGTCAACGAGAGGTGATCATCTGATGACTGGTGTCATTGCAGGTATAGGTACGTCATGTCCACACATTATGAATAGGACACTACGACACCGAGATGTACGCGTCGAATAGATGGTGGAATAATAATATTGTGTGCTCGACGGGGTCGGGTGACGAAAAAAAAGTCGTTCTCGGTGCGTAATAATTCCATCGCCACATCGCACGAGAAGATAAAAAACGCAACGAAGGCAAACATCGATGTAACATTATTATGGCACGGCCACATTCCGAATTTTCTGATAATATGATATCTGTTATATTATTATTATTATTATTATTATGGCGAGTCTCGTGCGTGTGCGTGTGTGGCGAGCTGTTGTTCGAATGTCGTCGGCGAGAATAACGTAAAAAACAATACGAAAACAACGTAACGAACTTACACGTCCTAAACGCGCGTATGTTGTTGGACGACTGTCTGCAGAGACGAAACGGAAAAGAAACGTTTTTCCATAGATTTTTCGACCGGAATTTCCATAGTTCACTGTATTTTAACATTATGTAATATTATCAAGCCGTTTTGTGTGTATGCACATAATATTATAATATTATTATACCGTGAAGGCATAACGCTGCAATGTTATTATATGTACCTTGCGGGAAGTGTACTCTACACAAACTTTAAATTCACGTAGCTATAGATTGTGTTTTCCTATAAAATAATGTATAATTAATAATTTTATTAGCTAATAGGTTAATTATTATTTTATTTTCTCACGATTTCGCGAAGCTATAGAGGAATATAATGGCTTTATCGTTATTTTTTTTTCTATTTTCTCGTGTAAAGGTCAAACACGCACTACGGTATTGTAATAATACATCATTATTTGACATAATATGTATGCGTAACATATACATACTCGATCACAGTGACAGAAAACTCGGTTATTGAATATTACATAATTATAGGTAGGTAGGTACATAAATTTATTTTACTATTGGTCCATGTAACAGTTGAGCCTAACTTCCGTTTTCAAAAGTGAAAAAAAAACTAATAAAAACAGAAATGACCATAAAAAAAAAATATATATATAATAATAATAATGATTAATACAACTAATCGCGGTGCCGCAGTGACCAGATATTGTCGCGATGGGGTTGTAACGGAGGAAGCTCTAACGTAGTATTATCTCATTCGTCAACATATTATATTATAATATGACCGGACCTAACAATAATATTTATATAATATAATATAATGTATTCAGGAAGACTACGCACGTACAAAATATAATAATATCGATAATAATAATAATAATAATAATAATAATATAGTAATGATACAAACAAACGGACAACTAATATTAGTAGGATAAAAACACTGCAGCAGGCTCTGCCTTATCGTCTAAAACGAAATAATATATTATAGCGCACAGCTTAAAAAACTTGTATCATTGCTCCCTCTTACCAGCAATAGAGATAGGATATATTATAATATTATAATATACAAACGGAATCGGAAAACAAAACTAAACAATATAATAATAAAAACAAAATGTAAATAAAACTGCCGGCGCCGGACTTTTTAAACGCTGATTCGGTCGCCATTTATGTTTTATATAATATAATAATAAATATTTATGTAAAAAAAAAAATATGCTATCGATAATATTTTATACAGTAATATATAATTTATTAATATCGTAATATAATAATAATAATAATATAATGGTGCATTTAACAACATTAACCGTTAATTAATAAGGCACAACGACTTAAACACTATAATGTAAATTATACGATTATAAAACATCGAAACGAGACAAGACCTTCGTCGTCGTGGTTTGTTTTTTTTATCCTTTTCTCGTTTTGAGGAAGAACACGCACAAATTATGATGACGACACGCCATAGGATTCAAGATCCGACAGTCAAAGTCTTCTCTGGCACCACGTTGTCATTTCACATAAATATTATAGATCACTCGAGGCCAACGATTTCGGTGTCCATTCGCAGTAATGTCGTTGCCGGTCGCAACTACCACACGCGCGGTTTTTGTTCGACATTAGATTAATACAATAACAATAATCTTATATTGTTTTAAATAGTTATAAAGGTATAAAGTTATCATTTTAAATAGGACATCGAGTTACCGTTTTTACACTCCAGGTGTTGATGTAATACGTGTCACCAGAAGACGAATATTATATATAAATCGGGAATTTCGTTTTCGACGTTATAATTGACTCGTTGAGTGTCGAGAAAAAAAAACGGCGTTCTATTCGCGTTTAAGCCACAAATTTTGTTGTTGCACAATAACGTTTGATAATAATACATCAAATAATCGCTATACCGTGTATTACCATCGTCATCGTATCACAGATAGTGAGTTACAAATATTAATTTGATAAATATTATTTTTGTATCTGAAGGGGTGGGGTGAAGGGGTTGGGGAGGGGGTGTTTGAAAGGCACACCCGCCGTTGTTGGTGTGCTCAAACAAAACATACCTTAATTTTTTTTAGAACGACGTTAAAAACGATATTTTACGACACGGCGGCGGCGGCGGAGATGATGAGGAATCCTCATCACCACTGGTTGTAGGTGTTGTAATCACCGTAGTACTGGCCCGGACCGTAGTTGTGGTGATGACTGGGTCTGGCTATGTGCTCGGTAGAGCAGCACGAGTGAAACCGGTTGTATCCGCCAGCGTACGACTGTTCCCGGTTACTGTTGTTAATGTTGCTGTTGCTGTTGCTATTACTGCCTCCACCCCCGTTGTTGTTGCTGTTGCTGCTGTTGTAGTACTGGTTCGATGGCAACAGCGGCTGTTGTTGCTGGTAGTGCATCCGGTCGTACGGCCTGTAATACTCTTGTTGGTGGTTCTGGTACGGCGTCTGATGCTGGTTTTGGTGATGGTATTCTTGGTGGTACCGCTGCTGCTGGGCGTGATGATGATGGTTCCGGTTGTACGGGTCTTGGTGGTGGTATGGAGGTACCTGGTGCCTGCCCATCGCGGCACCGGTCACGTCGTAACCCACGTACTGTTGGGCGGCCACGGCGGCAGCCGCTGCAGCGGCGGCGGCCGCCGTTCTAGTCTGCTTGTTGCGCCTGTTTTGGCCCCCGCCACGCTGCGCGCGTCCACGCCTGTTCTGTTGCCGCGGCGGTTCGAACGACGACGACGACGCCGCCGTGTGCTGTTCGTCGAGTCGCTGCGACGTCCCGGCGCCGGGCTGTTGTGCGGCGGCCGAGCTCGACCGTCCCGCCGACTGGCATTCGCCGATGGCCGTTTCTTTGGGCGGTTCGTAGTACTCGTGCTGTGAGAACCTGCCTATCTCGGTGGACCCGAATGCCTGATGAAAGTTGGGCAACCGGCCGTTGGACTCCCTGCCCTCGCAAGCTAAGTCTCCGACGAGTTTGCCGTTGCCACCTGAGCCCGCCACACCTCCACCGCCCCCATCACAAGCGTCAGACCGGTTACCGTGGTCGACTACTTCGTCGTTAATGATGGTCGAGAGCCAGTCTATGGACTCCTCCTGTGAAATCGGCATGGAAAACAAAAAACAAAAATGGTTTTCTCGTTTTACTAACACTTGCGGTAAACAGTACATTATAGGTATATATTATAATACATAGTACACCCTTAGCGACGGATGGCAAACGGAGGAAGAAGGAACGGGACGGACGGATCGCCATGCACGCTTGACGAACTATAATAAAAATAAATAATACAGTAGCGTGCACATGGCGTTAATGTGTGAACGGACGACCGTAGCACGACGAGTGCAAGCGGCGTGTAAAAAGTATATATTACCATCGTCAATCGTTATACCAGAATATGTGTGTAAACATAGGAAATGGAAGTGCAGATTTTTCACAGTTTTGATTTCATATGACTTACCTTGATGATCTTATCATTTTCGGTCATGTTTTGGTGGCCGCCCAAGAAATCAGCCATGGGGTCTGTCATGTCGGCCTGGGACACCGGATGGTTGTTGGCGGCGAACGATTCTGCCGAAGACGTCGACGCTCCTGCAATGATTATGACGTACGCGCATAAATTATACAGATAACATCATTTGCACAACATAAATGGAGAACATATTGTAATATAGTATCGTAATACAAGTATATGGGTAACATCGTTGCAGTGTGTCACGATTGTGTGTTCGCGTTTGCGTGAGAGATAGATAAATATGTAATGATAATATTATTTGGAACGAAATTAACCTGTCGACGTAGCCTGATGATAACCATGGTTCAGGAAGTTTCCTGTACTGTCGCCGATATGTGTGTTGCACGCGTTATGTGATAAACCGGCATGCTGAAACACAAATTTAAACGCAAACATAAGACGAATAATATTCAACGTGTTTCTCTCGCATTTTACAGCGAATGTTGCGCGATAACATATAATATTACATTATTGTTATCGTCGGGCACCCGAGCGTATTATAGGTTATAACTCACAGCCGCGATATTAAAAAGTACGCATAATATCATATTTTTATTATTATTCAAATATTTGACGCGATACGTGTATGCGATATTGACTATAATGACAAAAGTTCAACGATCACAGATCGAACTTAACTAGTCGGTAAACAATGTAAAATGTGCGTCTTATATAGTCTATACAGCAAATTTGCGTTCAGCGGTTTCAATTTCGTGTTAAGACTGTAGCTGTAAAATTATAGGGAACACAAAAGTGAGACAATTATTATCTGTGTACTCTTGTCGGTCTTTTACAGTATTGCAAATATTTGAATTTTTAGCTAATTATCCGAATATTTAGTAATATGTTCATGCTCGGAACTCGCTTGAAATTAAAATGCCGTAAAAAACAACGAGATCACAGCTCTACATTTAGCTTTAATATTAGGTCATTTCAAAATTTAAGATAACAACACAAAGTTTGAAACTGGTGAACGTAAATGTAGGAACATTATGTTACACAAGACGAAGAAGAGGACAACACAATGTGCGTGTTAGACCCCGTCTTAAGAGGACGATATACCCGCATGTGTTGTCTCCGTCTTACAAGAGCGTAACATATCAAATTTTACGTTCAGCAAATCACGTTTAGCTCAGTTAGCTTAAAAATTAGAGTGAATTGACCTCTTGTTAAAATTAAGGTACGATTATTACGGAGGGCTTCTCATGGGATTTTTATTATATCTTAATTTTAAAGAGAGTTATGAGTATTTAAAAATTGTAAATTGTTTGTACAACTTAAAATACTCATAACACTCTTTAAAATTATAAAATAATAAAACGCCCACGAGAAGCTATCCGTAATAATCTTACCTTTAATTTTAATAAGAGGTCAATTCGCTCTAATGTTTAAGCTAACTGAGCTAAACGTGATTTGCTGAACGTAAAATTTGAGACATACGTCGTCCAACGTCCATATCATATCTATACATCATTACTTACCGGTACTCGGTACTTACAATCTTAAAGTTGTACAGCTGTACCTACGGGTTACGTTTAAAAACTGTGTACCACTACTCACCATTTGCGCGTGATCGGCGGCGCCTGACGACGGCGAACCGTACCAAGAAGACTCGGTGGCGGCATAGTTGAAGTAACCGGCGTTGGGCTGCGCACCGTACCCGATGCCGCCGTAGGGCGTGTAATCCGGTTGCTGTTGGTACTGTTGCAACATGATTTCCGGTCGGGCAGAAGACGTTGTCGATCCCTCGGATTTAGGATGCTGAGGACACTTCTGCAGCTGCAGGCGGCTGGTGGTGATGGTGGATGTGGTGGGACTCGGCGAAGCGCGGATGGCCGGATAGATGGGAGCCGGACCGGTGACGATCAGCGGGACGTCGCAGCCGGCGATCAACCGTCCCCGCGGTTCGTCGATGCCTGCAGCTTGACCGTCACGGTGACCGAGAGGCGGTGGCACGTATTCCTCACCGTGATCTTGGTGTTCCGATATCTCACCGTGATCTTGTCGCAGCTTTCCTTCACCGAAACCGTCAACTTCGTTTTGGCGCCGACCGCACGCCGATTTATCTAATTGATCAACCACGTCTCGTAACTTCTGCAACAAGTGAGATAACAGAAAAATGAGTATACGATTATTCATAGCACACTTTCTACGAGACCTTATAAATATTAGTAGGTATACGATAATATTAATTGTAAATGTACGTTAATAATAATATGTTCTTTTTAGGCCTCCCGAGTTTACGCATGTACTTATATGATTTCTTATTTTAATAATTTCTGCAGAGATAATATACGATATGCGAGGCTAGACCTCGTATTAAAATATGATATAGTATACGGCGTGAATTAGGTAAAACGTGAAGAAAAGAATTGAGTATAAAATGATATGGCACTCTGATTGTATAAACCAACTTAAAGAGAAAATACGGTGACACTCGTGACATGCAAAAGGTTGAGGATCGGGCAATCTGCTGAATAACAACATAATATGATATATCCTAAAACTTTTTTCATTGTACGTACGTAATACGTTTAATACGAGACATTTAACCTAATGTACTGTGAATCTTTTTTGACAGACGGCGTTCCGCGGTTTATAATATTCTTTAATCCCGTCGATCACATTTCGTTTCCTCTTTCATATTTTATCCTATAGTTGATACCTATATAATATACATTAAATTGTATAAAATTAAAATATTTTTTATGACTATCTGTGCAGGCGATTTAAATCCAAAAAATCATCATTTATTTCATATACATATATATTATATATATACATATATTTAAATACACACCTGTATACTTTTAAAACTTTCGAACCATTATTTATTAGTGAATATTCAAGATTATTGCCACACTGTACATTTCCCCTTTTAATCTTTTACTTTTTTTTTCATTCAAAAAATTTATTTCCACATTATACATTAATGAGATTCTCGTCTTGGTATTCCATTAAAATATTATGAGTACAGTTGTTCATTTCATAAATTTTCACCCGACTTCATTGAGTAGTTGTCGAGGGATAATATTATACAATTAAACGTGCGATTAACCAGTGTCTTTATTTACCAGTTGGGTTGATGACGTTTAAATCTACTTTGAACCTAATTTAATAATTTAACTCTAAAGTTACACCCAAACAGATTATTTTAAAAGTGACTAAATTAAACATCTAATTATAAAATTAATTTGTACCTAAAAACAAAATTAATTTCATACTTTTTCATCACATTTTAAGATTTTGTAATGAAAACTGCAGATAATTACTTTATGTATGTTTAAAAAATAGCATTTCTATCAATCGATATAAATTATAAGTATACATTTAAGAATTATGTGAAAATGTAAAATGGTATAAACTATATAGGTACAATATTAAATACAATAATGGTAATATTTTTATCTTTCTGAAATAATCTAATTCTAATAACTAATTATTTGGTTATCATGGAGAATTCCGAAAATTATCAGATATCATAATAATTTTTAAGAATTATTATAACATCGACATTTGATAAACTAGGCTAAAATACAAAATTAACTAAAAAAAGAAAACACGTGACAATTTTTTATTTTAATTGAAGCTAATTTTTTATAATTTCTTAGTTACCCTCTAACTTTATTATTATTAATATACTTATCATAATATGTACGTTGATAAAATTACAATAATATTTACTTTATTTATTTAAAAGAAAAAACTATGGGGTTTGGTATAAGTAAGCATTCAAATGTATAAAAAATAATAATACTCAGTTGTTATCTATATTTTATATATTCCGAAAATCCTGGGTGCCTAACGTAGTTCTGTTTCTACAATAATGCACAAGGTGCCCGTCGTACCTTGAAGATATATGAAATTCATTTTTAAAAACTATAGATTCATTAAAAAAAAAAGGTAACTGACTGAAATTGGTTAAGATATTTCATCATATTTTGTTCAATATATCTGTTTATAAGCTACATATTAAACGTATATGTTATCATAGAACAATTAAAGTACCTATTAGTTGTAATGAATTAATTGAACACTGAAATTTATTAAAATAAACAGTGTAAAGAACAAAATACATTTGTAGGTTTGATAAAGAGATATACAATCATTAATTAAACAAATTATACTTGATAGGTACTCTGAAAGTGATGATAATGTTTATATTCTGGTATAAAATTAAATGTATTTGATAAACTTGACAGGTATAAAAATAAGTTATGTTTAATATATGATAATACACTTATTTCAAGAAACATAATATAAAATTAAGCAATTAACTCATGATGAAAAAAAATTGGAAATTTGAGTTAAAAATTAATATATTATCATGCGTAATATGTTTATTGATTGATTAAATAACTTGATCAAATTGATAACCCATAGGTTAATCCTGATGATTATATAATTTACTACACAACTCAGAATATTAACTTTATAATACTTTTCTAACCTGAAAATTAACATTATATTTTCGGAGAGATGAGTTTTTGGTTAAAATGCAGAGACTCTAACGGATCTGGTGTGCGTGTGAAAAGTCCCGCCACTTGTAAAAATCAATCCGGTCAACCCACAGAACACTGAGAGAGCAGAAGTGTGCGCACGAGTGAGATAAAGAGCGAGAGAGTGGGAGAGGAAGTGACAGAAAAAGGGGAAAAAGGGGGAAAGAAAAAGGGAAAATCCATTACACTGCAATATAATATATATACGGATATACCCTATACGGTAAGAGTGTGATATACGTTTAGAAAAAAATAAATTTATTATTTGAAATGATGGGATAGATCAAAAAAATTATCCGTTTCCGAACATTCAAGAGCGAATCTCTGTAACATTTCTGTTAAGAAAGACTTGGTGGTATGTGTGGAAGAGGGGGCATTTGATTTTTGTATACGGCCTGGGTGCATCACGCAAATCGGTGTGGCAGAATCCCAGAGATATACATATCAGCGGAAACCCAAATGGATTTATAATAATATAGACGATTCTAGGCTGTGGAGAATAGCAAAATAGTAACTACGTTTCATAAATATACAGCAATAAAGCGTTTGCACGGGGAAAATATAATATAGACGGAATAAAAGTCTCTCTCCCGAAAGTTAATATTTTATCCAATTATAACATCAGTCTAAAGTAATTTTAAAATATTATAATTTAATGGTGTCCACATCATCAGATTCCTTAAATCACGAACAGTATATTGAGTATTTAATTTTTGTTGGTAAGTGCATTAGATAGATTCTTAGCGAAGTGAGAGCTGTAACTTGTAAGGCGTACCTATGCAGCTCAATATTAGAATGCTTTATTTTAATTTCGACAATTACAATTTTTTGACCAAACAACACCAGGGAATTTATTTACAAGGCAAAATCTCTAACGTACATTATGTAATATGTATACATTAAAAAAAAAAATTAATAATTGATAAGTCGAATAGAAGATAACACATTTTTTTGTTAACAGATTTTAATTGAAAGGTAGAATTTTAAATTATGGACATGCGAATGATATTATTTTAGATTTTAAACGAGAGATGGATGCATTAATTTTACAATGATGTGTTTTTTACTAATAATTAATTTTGTGTTTGTCATCTTTTTTTGGAGTAGTAAGAGGCTTCAATCATAAACCTTTTGGGGTGGTTTTTTGTAGAAACTTAGATCTCGTTGATCTTATACAAAATGCTCAAAGTAAATCATTTAAAGTATTTTTCAAAATAATCGGGAAAAACTAGAATATTTTCGCATTACCATGTTTAACAAAATCAATTATAAGAAATATTATAATATATATTATATTATTTCGATTTGGATGAAATTAATAAATATTTTATTAAAAATTAGCATTTTTTAGACATGATATTAGTATAATTTTCAAAATATTTGAGCTACATATTATAAAAAAATTTGAAATTTCGGGCAAAAACTCGATAATTTAATACATTTCTCATAAGTTGTATAACTTAAAAAATATTTTAAAATATCAAAAACACATCACACCAATTTGTTATTTTTTTAAAACTATAGACATTGTAAGTTCAAATTTTTATGAAAAATAATGATTTGGTTATTATTTATGTTGTTAATTAAAAAATATAAAACGTAGGACTGTATGAAACTTTTCACCATTATTTTCACATATCTGAGAGAAAAACAATAAAATCAAAATATTTTGACTAATTTAAGTTATTTATATCACTAACACATTCACACCGTTATACGGTTCGACGTTCTTGACTTATAACTTAGCAGTACTATATATATATAATATAATAAATCAAGAATAAAGTAAATTTGGGAAATGGAAAATATATCCGAATCATGCGTATCGTAACACATAATATGTAATATTTATTCTCATGGGTCATTTATTGCAACCTGTCTGTAATTGTTTATAGTGATCGAACAAAACAAGAACTTTACATCGTTGGTATACCATCTCCCAAAAAAAAAAAAATAGTTTAAATTATGTCAACAGTATAGTAACGGAAAAATTAACACCAATTAATTTTTAAACAGAATTTATTGTCTTAAAAAAAGTTTATTTTAATAATATTCGTTTTGAATTTTGTTTATAAAAATAATAAGTTACCTATTATTTATACAAAATTAATTTTGATAAAATTCTTATTTGTTAGTTATTGTTATTTAAATTTAATTTTGTATAAAAATAATATTATATAATAAATGATTATCATATGGGTGATGCTATTTTCAAAAATTTGTTCAACTTCCGTATTGCTAATAGTATAACAGATATAAATAAATTAAAAAATATGAGTCCTTAGAGGATGACACGTTGTTTCCGCTCAGAAACGTTTTTTGTATGGAATGATTTAACATTGAATTCAAATTTAACACATCCATTAAAATTTACTGTGATCCATTCAATGTCAAGAAACACTCGAAACCGGCAACTATCCTGGTTTTTTTTTTAATGTATTTTATTCGAATTTGTATTGGTAGGCTCGAGTATTAAAAACGGAAATTTCAATAATATTTTTTAGTTATGATCATAGTATACTATAAGCTATTAAGAAAATATTTATTCATGGTGAATCAGTTATTATAATATACTATATACCATTGCCATAAGCT